GTCTCTCTCTCTCTCTCTCTCCCTCTCCCCCATATATATGTATATGTATATAGGTAGGTATATGTATATACACACATATACATAAATATATATGTGTATATACATATATTCATCTCTATAGAGATAATAATTAAATCTATGACCTCTGAGGAGATAACCAAGAAAGAGAATGTAGAGAGAAGAAAGAAGAAGGTAGAATATTACTCTACTCTCCAGGATAGAGTATTGCATGGCTCCCATCATTTGGTGTAGGACACAGATGATTGTCCAGCAAAGGAAATTAAGAAGGAACAGATTAAGAGAAAAACCAGGAAAAAGTCAGTTTTCATGAAAATCTGGTTGAGAGAGTATCTAGGAAGAGAAGGCTTTCCATAATGTCAGATGCTTCAAAGAGGTCAGAAAGACCAAGGGCTAAGAAACAGCTATTAATTCCATTAATTTAAATTTTTTCCAGTTTATAAACATTCATTTTCTCTCCTTCCCACATTACCCTCACTACTTGGGAAAAGAAAAACAAAACCTTGGTAACAAATATTCCCAGTCAAGCAAAATTAATTCCCACATTGGCAAGTAGTTCATTTATTATCTCTGTCATGAAATGATTAATATTCTTAATCATTGCTTCTGTAGAATCATGGTTGACCATTGCATTGATCAGAATTCTCTCTTTTTGTGGTAGCAAAGAACTCGACACTAAGGGATTCCAACTGATTGCAGAACAGCTGAACAAATTAAGGCATATGAATATAATGGAATACTTTTGTGCTATTAGAAATAACAAAGGGAGCAAAGGTTTCAGAGGAATCAGGAAAAATTTATATTAACTCCCCTTTCCATGTAGCAGTTCTTGAGAAGAATAGTTTCAATTTGAGTGAAGACATCAGAAGCCTGATTGGAATGTGTTGAGAAGTGATAGGAAAGGAAATGTAGATAAAAAGTATAGGTTGCTTTTCTAAAAGTGTAAATATGAACAGGAAAAGAGATACAGGATAACTTAATGGGATGATAAGGGTTTTTTTTTAAGGTTGGGAGAGACCTGAAAATGTTTGTACGTAGCAAGTAAGGTAGAACCTAGGGAGAAATAGGAAATTAGTAAAGGAGGACAAGTGAAAGGGCTTTCTGCTCGATGAGATCAGAGGAGATGTGATCAAAGGCATAAACAGAAAAGCTGATCTTGGTGAAAAGGGACCCATCAGAGACGGGCTCTAAAAAGGAGAGAATGAGGAAGGATATCAAGGAGTTTTGAGGTACGGAATAAAGGAAAGGAGGTGGCAGATGATGGATGGCCTTTATTTTCTCAGTAAAGTATGAGATAAAGTCCTCTACTGAGTAAAGATGGAAGAGTGGTGTAGAAGGCTCATAGAGAAAAGAAAAGGTTTGAACCAGTCATTAGGGATGAAATCAAGAGCTGATTAGACAGAAAATAAAGGGATTGCTGTGGACCATTGAGAGCCCTATTGAGATTTGATAATAAAAATTTCTAGTGGATCCAGTCAGCCAAGGGGAGGGTGACTCCCTCTAGTAGCAGGCAGTGATGGTAGTCCAGTGTTGGGATGTGACAAGACATGATAGTGAAATAGTAATGAGCCAAAGGATTTTCAAGCACAGTATACAAATTAAATTGCTTATTATTATGCAATCTTTCCCTGTCCTCTAAATTTTTCTTTATAATCTTAAAAATGTGTGTTTACTAGCTCAAAAAAAAAGTGCTTCCAGCTACATGCACATTTTATTTCTGATTTCTTTGAATGATGTGTTTATCGGTTTCCTTTATCACCTGTTTTCAACCTAGGGCTAATTCAGTTTGACTCTGGATAGTAGATAGCAACTTACTTTAGAATAATATGTGTGACTTACATCTATATACAGCTTTAAGGTTTTCTCACAAGTAAGGAGTGCAGGCATATTTCTATTTCAGAGATGAGTAAATTGCCTCTGAAGGTGGATAGCATCTTTCACTGTAAATCTAAGTCTTTCCATATTTTTCTAAACCTACCAGCTCATCATTTCCTACACCACAGCAATATTTTGACCCAATCACATTCTATCTGGGAAATTGTCTATGAGAGTTTTTCTCCAATTTGCTGCATTCCCTCTATTCTTGGCCACATAGGTTTTATTTATACAGGAAAATTTAAATTTAAAATAATCAAAATTATCCATTTTACCTTCAACAGTGCTCTTGCCTTATAGTATAGTTTAAGGTTTGATACTACTGAATCTAATTCCTTCACATCTTTTCCCCCCGGTTGATCCTCTGCTCTTCCAAATGAATCCTGTTATTATTTTTCCTGACTCAGTAAGATAATTTTTTTAGTAATTTAATTGGGATGGCATTACATAAATAGATTAGTTAGGTAAAATTGTCATTTAAAAAATTATATTAACTCTACCTGCCATGTACAATATGTATTACTTCAATTATTTAGATCTAACTTTGTTTGAATAAAAGTGTTTTATGTTGATAATCATGTAGTTTCTGTGTCTGTTTTGGCAGATATACTCATGTTTTTTATATTGTCTAGTTATTTTATGTGGTTTAAAACTATTGATTAATATGGCTGATGTGTAGTGTAGTTTCCCTATACTTCTCTTTTGATTAAATCTGATTTTAGCTTTTACTTTGATCTTAAGATCATGGTTACTATCCTTGCTTTTTTATATAATAAATTCTACTCCTGACCTTTATTTTATGTTTATATGTGTCTCTCATTTTTATAGCATTTCCTGAAAGCAATATATTGATGAATTCAAATTTTTAATCTGCTATCAGTGTCCATTTTATAGGTAAATTCATCCCATCTACATTCTAAACTATAATTACATACATGTTTTCCTTACTCTCCTTCTCACCCTATTCCTATCCCACCTCAGTACTCTACTTTACTTCTATCTGCTACCTTGCCCTCCTTTTCCTTAACCTACCCCCCCAAGAACCCCTCCTTTATCTTCTCCCTCCACTCTATCCTCTTACTTTCTTGTTTCTTTCTGAATTTAGAAGATTTTTACACCCTTCTAAATATATATGTTGTTTCTTCTTTATCCCATTCTCATTAATCTACACACCTTTTTCTACCCCACGTTATCCTATTCCTTATCCCTTCCTTATCCTTTCCTCCCTCCCTAGCCCTTCCTCCCTATACACTTACCCTCTTATTTCTTTCTGAATTTATAAGATTTTTATACCCTTCTCAATATGTGTGTGTATGTGTATTGTTTAAACCATTTCTGATAAGAATAAGATTCTAGAACTACCTGTCCTCCTCCCCCATCTAATTTTTCTGTATCACTTCTTCCACTTGCACCTCATTTGTATGAGATAATTACTTTTTTCACCTTTTCCTACATCATTTTGCTTTTTAGAATCATATCATACTCAGCTCTACCCTACTCTTTCTTTCAAACTACCCAATTACTAATGAAAATCTTAGATACGTGGTTTATATTTTCATGTATAAACAGTAAATAATGTTTCCTTATTGAGACCTTCATAATTAGTCTTTGATGTTTACTTTATATTTCTCTTGCATCTTGTATGTCAAATTTTCTATTAAGTTCTGATCTTTCTGCAATAAAATCCTGAAAATTTGTCAATTCATTGAATACCCTTTTTTTTCCATTCAGAATTATACTTAACATTACTGAGTATAATATTTTTGGACATAACCCCAGTTCTTTTACTCTTTAACATATATTGTTCTAAGACCTGTGGTCTTTTAGTGTAGCTGCCACTGTGTAATTCTAATTACAGCTCTGCCATATTTGAATTGTTCTTTTCTTGTTGCTTGTAATATTTTTTCCTTAACCTGGGCGTTTTGGAATTTGCTATGATATTCCTGTAGGTTTTCCTCTGAGATCTAGAGATTGGTGGGGTTTTTTTTTTCTATTTCTACTTTCCCGTCTTGTTCTAACACTTCAGGACAATTTTCTTTAATTATTTCTTGTATTATATCGAGATTCTTTTTTTGATCCTAGCTTTCAGGTAATCCAGTTATTCTCATGTTTTCCGTTCTTCATATGTTCTCCAGATCAGTTGTTTTTCTTATAAGATGTTTCACATTCTCTTCTACTTTTTTATTGTTTACATTTTGTTTTATTATTTCTTCATATCTTATAACTTCGCTGGCTGCCCCTTCCCACTTCTAATTTTCAAGGAGTTGTTTTCTTCCTTAAGATTCTGGATCTCCTTTTCTATTTGTGGCTGACTTTCTTTTCATAATCTTCTTTTTCTTGGATTGTCCTTATTTAAAAAAAAATTTCTTCAATCTCTCTCATTTAGTTTTTGAAGTCTTTTTAATTCTATGAATTCTTTTTGGAGAGGTGACCATTTGACATTACTTTCTGGTGTAGGAGAGGCTTTTTTTTTTGCTTCAATATCCTTCTCTAAAGATGAACCCCTGTCTTCTCTATTCCAGTAATAACTGTTTATGGTTGGGTTATTTCTCCCTTGCTCATTTAAAAAAATTTTTTAGCAGCTTGTCATTTTAGTCATCTCTAATCCTGGGGTGTGGGGGATGGTGCCTCTGGCCTCAGGTCTTTCTTGTTGTTGTTTTTGAGTTTCATTTTGAGCCCAACCTCTGTACTCTCTTTCCCTTCTAAGCCACAACTAGGGCCCCCACACCATCTTGCTGGTCATGTAAAGTGAAAGTCCATTAATAATATTTTTGAAGCAGATACCAAATGAGATACTTGAAAGAACAATTTTAAAATGCACAGGCTTTGTGTTCTGATTTTATTCTTCTGGAGCCTTTAAGCCTTATAGCCTAAATCTTTAGGAAAAAAGAGTCTGAATATTCCTCAGCATGTGAGTATGTATGTGTGTGTACATGTGAGTGTGTGTGTGTGTAGGTGTGTATATGTGTATGTGTGTGTGTGTTCTTTTTTGAGACCAGAGATTAAACTACTTCTATCCAGCTTGACCTGGCTTCTGGAATAAGAACCTGTAGCTTGGTGTTGCCATAGTTACTGAGTTCTTTTCCAGTACTGGCTTCCTAGTAGTATCAGGTTTCTGGTACTCCTCAGTGATAGGGTCCTATCTTGCCCCCACCCCCTTCTCCTCTCCTTTGCAAAGCTTTCTCTTATGCTGTTGCTGGCCTCCTCTTTCCCTAACCCACTCCAAGGGAGGTGTCTGCTCTAGGGGAAGGGTTGGTTCAGTGAGTGGAGACTTTTTTTAGAGGAAAATGTGAATGGGAGGCAACAGATTCTCTTTACTCCATTACGCTCACCTTTCTGGTCCCTGTACTCCTTGATCCTCAGGGGCCAAGAAAAAGAAATAAATTAATTAAGGGAATGTGGGGAAAACTGGACCTAAACTTGAACAGGAAGATGAAGTCTCAGATTAGAAGATAGTTTGTTCCAAAGTTTTTAAAAAGAAAAAAGAGAAAAGATGAAAATACCACTATGGCAAAAGAAAAGAAAAGAAGGGAAAGAAATGACAAGGAAGAGAAGGTTGGGGTGGAGGAAGCACCTGAGCAAGAGGAAGTTCTTTCTCCATCAGGGAAAACTTTAACTGAAGTCCCAAACTCTGAAGGGCTCAACAAGCCTTCTTCCCCCTCCCCTTTCTTACCAGCCTCAAACTCAGCCTCAAACACATTCAGACTTGAATTCTTATCTCAATACAGAACTTGCAGTTGCGATGCCACCAGTGGTGCCAAGCACGGGTCCAAAAGGAATAGTTTCTTTTGGAGATTCCTAAGGATGATTAGTTCCAAGTTTGCCAGGTAATGCTTTTGGGGAAACAAAGAAGGGAGGGAAGGAAGCATAGCTCTGAGAGTAGCCATATTTGTCTCCATCTCCCCTGAACTCCTTGAGCTTTCTAAGCCAGCGGTCCCTTCTCCCCCTCCCCCTCCTAGCTCTGCAAACAAGACTTGGGGTCACCCTCTTGACATCTAGCTCCACTTGCCTTTGAGGTAACCAGCAGTCTCTCCTAGTTAGAAGAAGGTGGTCTTCTTTCTGGCCCCTGATTCCTGTGTACTTCTGTTCTGAGAGTGGTTTGGGGGACTGGTTTAGGACTCCTCAATCTTTAGGATTCTTCAAGCATTGAGTTGCTTCAGGCTCTTCTGGCTTCCAGCTTCAACAGGGAAGGTGGAAGAGGCCAACCCCACTTTAGGCTGCTGAAGGAAAAGACTCTAAGAAGACATGAGAAGGACTGGCAGTCTCTATCACGACCCTATCCCCAGCTTGCTACACCAGAGATTGGAGAATTTCTCCTTGGGTGACATCTAGGATAATCTTTCTTAGTCAAGCTGAGTTATCTCTCTCCCAATGGGAAAGCTCCTTTAGTCTGCATTATCTGATATATATGCTCCTTTGTATACCTTCTCTGATTTCTGTTTTGCTACGACTTGGATAAATGGATTTCTTCACTTTTTGTTATGTGTGTTCTGTGTGGAACTGGTATTAGATGGAGAAGGGATCAAATTTTGGATATAAAGCTTGGGGTGGTCCTTCCCCCCCAAATGACAAAGTGATCAGAAATTAGATTGAACTCAATCGTATCCCCTAGACTAATAATATTTAAGGCAGAAGACAGATATGATTCTAGCCAGGACCTCTCTCTGAATAGGGCTGACTGGTCTCTGGTCCCAACTTCCTACTTCCCCTCCTGGAAGGAATGCAAGTCTCCCTTAGAGAAGAATGGGGTTAGATTAAGCTAGAGATGTCTATTCTGCCTCTCTTTGTGCCATACAATGATGACCCTCATGTGGCAGGGCCTCCTAGCCACAAACGGACCTCTCACTACAAATGTGAATTCTCCTACAGATTATTATCTTAGTGGTTTCTTTCTTAAAGAAGTCAGTCAAATACCTCAAGCAGGAGTGAGTATTCAAATTCAGACAATGCTTAGCCCAAGTTCATCTAAAGAAAAAATTTTTGACCTATAATTTCATTTATATGTGGACTCTTGGTATGTAAAACTCCCTCTATAAGGCAGGGAGGGTATCATCTGTAATTTACAGTTATGGACAGTTGCCAGGTCCCTGTGACTTGCCTGCAGTGACATTGTTAGTATGTTTAAGGGGCAGGATTTGAACTCATGTCTTTCTCACTGTAAGGTAGGTCTTCTATTCTCCTGCCTAGCTTCCCAACCTAATAATAACAATTCATATTTATATAAAAGGCTTTGCTTGTGAAGAGGTGAGCATTAGTAAGCTTAATAAATATTCCTTGTTGAATTGAATTTAATCTTCCTTCCCATGTTTAGCTGCTTGTCTGTCTGTCTGTCTCCCTCTCTCACACACACACACTTCAATGGGCATGTATTTTTTTTTAAGCTAGTACTATACTTTCCAATGGTGTCTGGATTTGCAATACCATCCTTATATAACATCCAATTTCTATACTACCTTTGTCCCTGGGGTGTTGGGTAGTTTCCTGAAAGATAACCCTGTAATGCTGTGTACATTAGGGGAATGTGACTTCGATTGGGTGAGAAGCTTATGAGCCCGTGACATTGCATATGCTATGGGTAAGGGAAATGTGACTTTGGATTTGGCAGAGGGTGGGCACCAGAAAGACTGGGAAAAGCAGGGAGAGAGACAGAGAAGTGCAAACTTTTGAATGGCCAATAAGACATCACAAGCATTCAGGGAAAGGCATCTCTTCAAAGTATCCCTTGACACCCAGTACCTGAATAACCAGAAACTACTAAGAACGGGTTTTTCTCTTTAATTTTCATTGTTCTATTTTATTTTCAGTTCTAGACTCTCTTCCCTCTACCCACTCTCTCCCTCACTCATTGAGAAAGCAAAACCCAATATAAATATGAAGTCATTGAGCAGACTTTATTAGTGATATCACTCTCTTTTTAGCTGAGCTGAGATTTTATCATGCTCCTGAATTGAAGGACTGAATTACTTTTGTGTATCTTAACTATACGCATCACACATTTTCAGGTCAAGAGCATGACACTCTATTTGGTTCAGAAGAGAATCAATCCACTTTCCCTGGTCCTCTGGGAGGAAAGTTGTCCTGCCCTAGCTTGAGAGGGTAACTGTTAGCTTACTCTTAGCCAGTTTAGTTCCCTCTCATAAAATGTTTGTTATACAAAAGACAACATGAGTAGCAAGCAAACATGTTAAGTAAATAGTGGAAGAAAACTAAGGAAAGCCATGCAGATTAGAGTAGACAGAAGGTAGAATACACAAAAGAAAATGTGCTTTTTGACTTGGTGGAGCTCAGCTCAACTAAAAATTGAATAATCTTACCAGAGGTATATATTATTTTTAAAAATTAAATTTATTAAAATTAAAATTATTTTCATGAAGATTTGCCTTCTGTTTCTCCCAGCTACTCCTCCCTCCCCCATCATTGGAAATGAAGAAAAACAAAATCCCTGCTACAAATTTTTATAGTCAAGCAAAACAAATTCTTGCATTGGCCACATCTTAAAAAAAAAAGATTTAATTTGTTCTCTGAATCTATCACTTCTCTGTCAGGACATGGGTAGCATTCTTGATCATGAGTCCTATGGAATTGTGTTTGATCATTAGGGTAGTTTATTCTTAGCAATCTCTGGTGATATAGATATTGGGAATCAAGGGACATGTGGGGACATCAGTTTTTCTCATGTGTCTGTGGCTCCAAGACTCCCATTAGCTATTCAAAAGTTTTCTCTCTCTTCCTGGTCACTCTAACTGCTTCTCCCTCTGTTTGTTTCCAAGACACTACATCAGATCGAAAGTGTCCCTCATATACATAGGGCTGCCCTTCAGGGAACTTCACTTCCTCTCCTGCAGTATAGGTGCCACCTTTCCATGGGTAATATCGGCAAAATTTTGTGAAATGACCCAAAGTACAACTTGTCCTAAATCCCTTTGTGTGCATTGCCCTCATAGGATGTTCCTCAATGAAATTTAACCCCTATGTTTAAGATTACCAGTAGTAATTCAATAAGTATCTAAAAACTGGGCTTAAAAAGCTTTTTGCTCTATACCTTTTTGAGCATTAAGTAATCTAAGTAATTTTAAGGGCAAATGTGGCAGATGCATTGTGCTTGAGCTAGGTATATATATTTGGTTAGGCAAATTAAAAACCATTTTTCTTCATTCATTTTGTGAACTTCTAAAATGCTCAGGGCTAAAGCATATGCATGTACCTGAAAAAAGTTATGGGTTTAGTGATTTTAATAAGTTGGCAAACATATGTCTTACAAATATTGGTTAAATGAGAAAACAGGAAAATGATAAATGTTGGAGAAGATGTGGGAGAATTGGAACACTAATGCATTGTTGATGGAGTTGTGAAATGATCCAACCATTTTGGAGAGCAATTTGGAACTATGCCTAAAGGGCTATAAAAATGTGCATACCCTTTGACCCAGCAATAGCACTTCTAGGGCTATATCACAAAGAGATCAAAGAAAAGGGAAAAGGACCCACGTGTACAAAAATCTTTATGGCAGCTCTTTTTGTGGTGGCAAAGAATTGGAAACTGAGAGGATGCCCATCAATTGGGGAATGGCGAAACAAGTTGTGGTATATGAATGTAATGGAATACTATTGTTCTGTAAGAAATGACGAGCAGGCAGATTTCAGAAAAACCTGGAAAGACTTGTATGGTCTGATGCTGAGTGAAGTGAGCAGAGTCAGGAGAATGTTGTACACAGTAACAGCCAAGCTGTGCGATGACTGATGTTGATAAGCTTAACCCTTCTGAGCAATACAAGGATCTAAGACATCTCCAAAGGCCTCATGATGGAAAATGCTAGCCACACCCAAAGAAAGAACTATGGAGTTTGAATGCAGATCGAAGCATACTATTAGCTATTTTTTTCTTCTGGTGTGTTTTGTTTCCTCTTTCTGGTGGTTTCTCCTCTTAGTTCTAATTCTTCCTTACAACATCACTAATGTGAAAATATGTTTAGTAGGAATGTGTATGTATAGCCTATATCAGATTGTGCACCATCTTAGGGAGGGAGGAAGGGGGAGAAAAATTTAAAACTCAAAAGCTTATGGAAGTGACTGTTGATAATTCAAAATAAATTAATTTTAAAAAAAGAAATATTGCTTAAAATTCAATTAAGGGAATAAGCACTTATAAAAGTACCTGCTATATGACAGACATTGTGCTAAACACTTTACAAATATTATCTCATTTAAATTATCTGAAGTATTCTCTCTCACACACTTTGGAGATAAAATGCAATTGTATAATTCTCTTTCTCTTTTAGAAATAGAAAACACAATTTTAGTTTCTTCATTTCAGAAGTGAAACATAGCACCTTATCAATGGTAACTGGATTTCTTGGAAGAATCAGATCTATTATGTAAGTAAGTAAGCTAAATGATACTCAATTACTGATTTCCAAACATAATTTCTCACTTTTGGAACAGGAAACTTAGCTGTGTCTCTCAGTTTACATAAAAGGTAGAAATTTGATGTTAAAGCATATGTTTCATAAATATCCAGGAAATTTGCTTGTATTGAGTCATTTTTCTAGAATGAATTGATGATAATCATCCTTAATTTTGACAAGCTGCTTCACATTATTTTTTCTTATTTTATTTGTTAAGTTCTGAACTTAAATGCCCTGAAAAAGGAGCATTTCCATGCATACAGCAGGACACAAGGAAAAGCTTGCGTGTATGCACTGCGTGTGTGCAAACCCTTTTTGTCCATTTTAGGTGAAAGTGATGTCTCATCCCTCCACCCTTACCTCCATGTTAAACATTTTGCTCACATGTCCCATACATATCCCATCTTAAAGTACCTTAAATACAACCTTAAGTCCAATCTGAGACTTGATGGGAAGTCTTCAACCAACAACTATTACCAATGACAAACTTTCTTGCATCGCAAAAAAACCAAAATTACATCCCCAAGTACACATCATTTAGATCACAAAAAATGAAATTAGGTTACTATGCTTCCTTCATTCCATTGTTCATCATAATGGAGAGGATCAGTACCTGCTGATTTTGGTCCTTTGAAGAAACAAAATACAATCTCATCTGAACTTGTTTCTTACCTGCAATTCTTGAATTCTTTGTTTTTGCATCTTACTGGAATCACTACTGTCTATGTAATTTTTTTTTGTTATTTTAGGCAATGGGGTTAAGTGACTTGCCAGGGTCACACAGCTAGTAAGTGTTATGTGTCTGAGGCCGGATTTGAACTCAGGTCCTCCTGAATCCAGAGCCGGTACACTATCCACTGCGCCAGCTAGCTGCCCCGCTGTCTATGTAATTTTTAAGAGGTTATTTTAGTATTATTGTGCTGGAGAAGTCTCTCAAAGAATTCAACCAAATTTAGGTTAACATTTGAATTCAGACAATGATGACTTCATGCTAAATGGAATTTCAAAGTATTTCTTTCATAGCCTATTGACTGTTCCTATGGAGCAAGTTTATACTGTTACATACTTTTGTATGATGGTGTTCTCATATATTCTTATGTCCTTCAAGGTCACAAGATAGCCCTCACTTTTCTAACTAAATAGAAAGGGGGAGTAGCTAAGATTAAAAGAGATATTCAAAAGTTGTCCTCGTGCTTCAGAGGAAATAGTAATAATAAACATAATAATAATAGCTAGCATTTATGTAGTGCTTCAAGGTTTGAAAAGTGCTTTACAAATATTATCTTATATGATCACAACAACCCTGGGAGGTAGGTGCTGTTATTATACCCATTTCCCACATAAGGAAACTGAGGGAGACAGAGGTTAAGTGACTTGCTCAGGATCACACAATTAATAAGTGTCTGAGGCGGGATTTGAATTCAAGTCTTTCTGACTCCAGGTCCAGCAACTCTATCCACTGCACCGATCCAATCCAATAAATATTTATCAACTGTCTACAACACACCAGGCACTGTGCTAAGTATTGGTGATACAACGAATAAAGAGAAAGTTCCTCCCCTCAAGGAGTTTGCAATCTAAAGGGGAAGATAACACACAAAAGGAGACAGGAAAGGAGAAGGCAGGGATGAGTACACCAGGGAATAAGTGAGGAATCTTGTTCTGTGACATTGAAACCAGGTAGGGTGGCAGATACAAAGTGAAGTGGCCTGACAGTCCAGTTTCTGCCTTCTATGTTGTTGTTCAGTCTACATGCATCAAGGGTGGGACAAGAACCCAGCTCCTCTTGATTTTGAGAAGGGCTACCCATTTTCTTTGCCCTGTCAGTTAATTATTTAAAATTAGGTATTTTAACATAGGAGGTAGATTTCTAACACCCACAGAGTCTCAGGGGGGGAAAAGCAACATAAGTAGAGGGACAGAATTGCAGTGTACTAAAGTAGTGTTGTAAGTAATTTCTCTTGAATTCTCCTTGCATTTCTCTACCCCTTTTCTCCTCTCTGTTCTGGTGGAGAAGGATCTAGTCATGGGATCAGTGGATTTGAATTGGAGCAGATCTTAAAATTCATTTAGTCCAACATACCTTATTTTATGAATGGAGAAACTGAGGCTCAGATACATTGGGACATGCCCATAGCCAGCCCTCCTTTTTTTGTGATAAAAATTAATAATTGAAAACATTAAAACCAGACTTGTCTGACATGATATTCAATATTCTGTCCTAGATGTGCCTCACTTCTCTGCCATGAAGGAGGAGGAATATTTTATTATCTCTTCTCCAGGACATTTGATGATGATTCCCTTCCCCCCATTATTCAGAGTTCAATTTCCCATTAGTGATATTTTGATTTTTATTGTTGTGGTCATTGTATATATTATTTTGGTTTTGTTTATTAGCTCTGTATTAGTTCATATGTATCTTAAGTTTTTTTCTGAATTTTTCCTATTTGTCATTTCTTACTGCACAATAATGTTCTATTACATTCATATGTATTTTTTACAATCATTCCCTCAAAAAGTTATTTTTAAAGTGCTAAAAAGAATAAAGAGATTTGGAAGAGAATTAGTTCTCTTTAATTGAATACATTCCTCTTTTGACCTCCTGCAACTGTACTCCTATTAGCTTTAGTTTATTGTAGTCATTTAGAGCACAAGATTCAGACATGTTCTGACTGTTTCCCCCCAATTTTAATGGTTGGAAAATAAGGATGAAAACTTCCTTGCCTTCCCATCCCCCCACATCAACACTCCTTGGAAAAGAAGAATGAGAAACATTTTTAACCCCTCATCAGATAAACCCTTAATAATTTAGCCTTCATCCCTGTGGAATTTGTGTCCATTTACTGTGTAGAATTTCCATTTCAGTAGATGTACAAAATAGTTTCTTCTATAACTTCCCATGGCCTTATTTTTTTTTTATGAGGCAGTTGGGGTTAAGTGACTTGCCCAGCGAAACACAGCTAGTAAGTGTCATGTGTTTGAGGCTGGATTTGAACTCAGGTCCTCCTGACTCCAAGATGGGATCTCTGTCCACTGTGCCACCTAGCTGTCCCCCATGGCCTTATTTTTTGAGGAAAGATAATGAAATAAAAAATGATTTTCTTAAAACTTAAGTATTGTAACATTTGAATTTTAACAAAAGGATAAACTGAGGCAGATATTTGCACAAGATATTTATTAGCAGGGGCATGCTATCTATCAAATGGGTCAATGGATTGTCTCCATTAATGCTGGAGCAAGAGGACAGTTACCTTTATATAGGGTTTGGGGAGTATAGAACAAAGAATGGAGCAGGACAGAAGACATCATAGAATTAAGGGCAACACGACTGGTTATGGAGCTGACGCACAGGGAACAACATGATTGGTTGGAAGTTTGATAATGGAGGCTAGCAATGACCCCACTTCTCTCTTGAGAATAAGAACTGTTTACTTTCTGAGTGCAGGTGTGAGATAGGGACCCAGACTTTTGGACAGCAAATTAGACATGCCTGGAGAGCTTGGTGGAGTAAAGATGAGGCCCAAACTCTCTTGCTTTCTCACACAATCCCCAAGGTTAGCAAAATTCCTTTGAGCAGGAGAGCTGGATTTTTGAAACTTAACTCGTTCCAGGCCAGCCAATTCTGAGCTAAGTTTAGAGACAAAGACCCATAACTTAAGCAATTATAGGACAAAAGCAGTTACAGGGCAAAATCAATTACTCGTAAATACAATCAATAAGAAAATGATACAGGATTAATCTTAATCTCAGGATTCAAGAAATTTTAGGTATGATAGGATAAAGGACGATCAGATTTTTAACATGATAATACTTTATTGCTACACACATATACACACACACACACACACACACCCTACTCTTGTCTCACTCCAGTCTAAGGATTACTGTGGCAGACAACTACAGGAACTTAAAGGAAGAAAGCCCCAGTGGGAATTGTCAAAGAATAAAACTGCTAACACTGAATAGCATCATCTGGAACATAGATAAAATATCCCTGCCAACCCAGCTATTATCATATAACCAGCAAGATGAAAAATGTTATTACATTTCTGTGGACTTAATCTTTTCATCTCAGATATGTCTATAGCCAAACCCAAGCAAACTCTACACTATTTGCCTTCTCTCCTCCTAGCATCTGGCCAGTGTATCTTCTACTCATAGCAGCCCTTCTTGCTAAATCCAGGTCCTTGGGGTATAGGAAACCATTCTGTCCCTAATTATTCTCTAATCTCATCCCCAACCTTCCCCCAGGGCAATTGAGCTAAATTATACTATTCAAATTATATAGGGTTGCTTCAAAAAACCTTGGAAAAAGGAAGAAAGTTCTGCTTTCCCACACCTTTTCCTACTTTCTTCAGAGTGATACTCTAACACCGATTTTCCTCTATAAGGCTTTATAAGTGATATAAGAATTAAATTTGGAAGTTATGCCAACTCCTGCATAGAAAGACAGTAATCAGGAATTAATATTTCCTATCACATAAAGAACTGAGCTTAATGAGTAGCATTGTCACAAACACATTTTTTTAAAAAATGTGTATTTCCAAGGAATCCAGAGAACATGGTTTAAACGTGATACTTTGGGCTCACTTCCTACCTCACAGTGTTGTTGAGAGGCAAGAGTTTTGTAAACCTGAAAGTGTTTTAGAAATGTGAATTTTTATGAGTTAAATGGTACCTAATTCTATAATTTGTCTTCATTGACAGATTGAAAAACCAAGTATTCCCCTTACAAACTTCTGAAGAAAGAGAGAAGTAAGTTGATTTTTATATACACAAGGAAGAAGTCTCTCAAGGATGCAAAATATACAGAAGGGGATCATCTATATAAAAATACAGTTTACTGTATGATGACCCAAGAAAGGCCAGCTGTACTGATAATATTTAGATATTGACATTGGGCCTTTTTTTGAGAGCCCTTGCAATTTTGGCGATTATAAGTGGTTTAAACAGGACATTTAGATTATTGTTGTGCAGTATATGTCTAATTCTGTTCTTAAATTTTTTGGTCTTTGAAAGTAAAAAGGACTTCACTGGAAAGACTGGTGATTTTGATGATGAAGATGAACATAGGTAAGTATATTAGAAGTCATGGTGACTCAGTATCCTATTGTTCCCAGCCGTAATTATTAACCAGTGTTGGGGAGGCTCTGGTTGAGGAGACACCAAGTCTGCAGCTCTTTTATTACTTGCTCTTTGTCGTGTACTGCTACCTGCAAATTGTCACATTCTTGCTACCATAGGGAAGAACTGAGATGCAAGGGCCCAAGCTCTTTTACTGAGCTGGACCATCAGGATTGTCTTAAAGTTACCTGTAAAAGCTGTCCCCACCTTGAAGCCATTGCTGATCTTCAGTGATCAGCCTACCAGTGTTTTGCTACCTTGATATACTTACATAAAACTCCTTCTAATTCCCTTTGTCTTGAGTTTTGCCTCATTAATCAAGGTGAAAAGCCCAAATGAAGAATTTTCTTTTCAACAAATATGTTATAAAAAAATGGAGGAAAGGTTCTTATGAGTGAATCTTATGAGTAAAGCCATTGTTAGAAGATAGAAGGCAGCTGAGCATGGTGGCACATGCTTGTAATTCCTGACTACTGGGGAGGCTGAGGCTGGTGGATAGCTTGAGTTCTGGAGTACTGAGCTGCTATAAGGGCTAAAGTGTATTGAATACTAAAAATAAAATAAAATTACTGCAGACAATTAAAAAAAAAGTATATTGGGTGTCTGCACCAAATCCACTACCAGCATAGTGAGTCCTTTGAAGTAGGGGGAACACCAGGCTGCCTAAGAAGAGGTCAACTGGCCCAAGTTGGAAATAGAATAGATCAAAGTTTCTGTGATGGTCAGCAGTGGGATCAGGCCCATAAGTGACTGCTGTACTTTCAGCCTGGACAAAATAGGGAGACCCAGTCTGAAAGAAAAAAAAAAGATATAAAGTGCTCCAAAATTAGAGAAGATAGAAAATTGTGGAAAGATATTGGAAAAAGTACACAAAAAAAACTCCTATGGCATGCTGATGCTATGCTTGGAAAAAATTGTCTCAATTTATTCTGAATGATTATTCTCTAATATAATGTATCTTCTTTGGAATAATAGATATTATTTTTTTAAAGTTCATAGTTTTCATCATTTGATACTTAACACTCTGCCCCTTTCCAAAGATTTCCTGAATGACATCTGATTGACTGAATTGTTAATGTTGTCCAATAAAAACACACCTGGTGCTTCTACAACACAAGTCAGTGCGCAGTGAAACAGATTATAGCCCTCCTGTTACTTTATAGATGGTCTTCAAGAGTTACTGTAGCTAAAAAACTTGTGTGCCTAAGTCCACACAGGCAAGCCTCTCTGTATTGAGCTGTTCTCAGAAGACAGACCTCAATCCATCACTGAGACAGCAAATGAATGCTTAGGTTTGGCATCACATACTAGGGCTTTGCTCTTCAGGGACAGCCTTCATGAACTCTGCATTACCTCCATGTTATAATGAAGCATCAAATGAGAGAGCTTAAGTGACAAAAGGGAGACGATAAGTAGTTTAGAAGTGTTGTAGTGATGACATTTTTGTTTCATTTCTGCCTGTGGATCCTTAGAGCTTATCACAATATCTGGTACATTGTGCCAGGTGCTTATTAACCAATGGAAATAAAAAGGGCATGGTTTTGCTAACTGGCATTTTCTAGTAATTAAACATTTTATTCAATACTTCAAATTCAATCTGGTGTCCTCCACCTAGCATGAATCCTAGAGTAACCTCACTGATAATATTGTAAGTCCCTAATTCTAACCTAAGAAAATAAATATTTTCATCTTCTGAGACTCAACTGGCAGAAATATTTAAGAACTAATTATCTAGGATACTTGTTGCTTTTCCATTTTCTTTCTGATGCTCATCTTTTGGCTAATTTGATTCAATTCAAAAGCATTTATTAAACACCTCCTACATGTACTATATCGTCTGGGGCTGAGTGATACATAGTCTTTATTTTTTTAATTAAGTATTTTATTTTTTCCTTAATTACATGTAAAAACAATTTTAAAGTTTGTTTTTTAAAAGTTTGAATTCCAAATTCTCTCTCTCCCTCATGTCCCCTCCTCACTGAGAAGGCAAGCAATTTGATATAAGTTGTACATGTGCAATCATGCAAAATATATTTCCATATTAGTCATGTTGTTAAAGAAGGCACAAACCCAAAGGGAAAAATAATACAGAAAGTGAAAAATAGTATGCTTCGATCTGCATTCAGACTCCATCAGTTCTTTCTCTGGAGGTGAATAGCATTTTTCATCATGAGTCCTTTGGGATTATCTTGGTTCATTGTATTGCTGAGAATAGCTAAGTCATTCACAATTGATTATCATACAATGTACAGTGTTCTTCTGATTCTGCTCACTTCACTTTGCATCAACTCAAGTAAATCTTTCCAGATTTTTCTGAAATCTGCCTGCTTATTGTTTCTTAAAGCAGAGTAATATTCCATTACAATCATTTACTGAAGCTTCTTCAGCCATTCCCCACTTGATGGGCATCCCCTCGATTTCTAATTCCTTGCCACTACAAAAAGTGCTCCTATAAATATTTCTGTACAAATAGGTCCTTCCCTCCCCCACCTTTAAATCTCTTTGGGATACAGACTTAGTAGTGTATCAAAAGGTATACCAGTTTATAGCCCTTTGGCATAGTTCCAAATTGCTCTCCAGAATGGTTGGATCAGTTCACAATTCCACCAACAGTACATTAGTGTCCCAATTTTTCCACACCCCCTCCAATATTTATTATTTTTCTTTTCTGTCATAGTAGCCAATCTGATAAGTGTGAGGTGGTACTTCAAGTTGTTTTAATTTGCATTTCTCTAATCAATAGCGCTTTAGAGCATTTTTTCATATGACTATAGATAGTTTTGATTTCTTCTTCTGAGAACTTCCTGTTCATATCCTTTGACCATTTGTCAAGTGGGGAATGACTTGAAATCTTATCAATTTAACTGAGTTCTCTATGCATTTGAGAAATGAGGACTTTATCAGAGAAACCTGCTGCAATTTTTTTCACAGTTACAATTACTGTGTATTTCCCTCCATCCTACTTCCCCCATTTCTCTTACTTTCTCTCGTTTTACCCTGTCCATACTCAAAAATATTTTGCTTCTGACTATTGCCTTCCCCCAATCCACCCTCACATCAGCTCCCCCTTCTCTTACCCCCTTCCCTTCCTATTTTTCTATAGGGTAAGATAGATTTCTGTACCCAACTGAATATATATGTTATTCCCTCTTTGAGCTAATTCCAGTGATAGTAAAGTTCAAGCACCTTCCTCCACCTCCCCCGTGTTCCCTGCTACTGTAAAATCTTTTTCATTCTTCTTTAAGTGAGATAATTTATTCCATTCTACCTTTTCCTTTCTCTTCCTTTCAATGCATTCTTTTCTCACCACTTGATTCTATCTTTTTTTAGATAGTCATCCCATTATCTTCAACTCTCACACATATCCTCTATTTATGTATATTCCTTCTCACTGCCCTAATAATGAAAAAGTTCTTAGGAGTTACAAGGATTATCTTTCCATGTAGAAAAATAAACAGTTTAACCTTATTGAATCCCTTTGAATTCTCTTTCCTGTTTACCTTTTTATGCTTCTTTGAGTCTTATATTTGAAAGTTACATTTTCTCTTTAGCTCTGGTCTTTCCGTCAATAATGCTTGAAAGTCCTCTATTTTGTTAAATATTCATTTCCCCCCCTGAAGGATTATACTCAGTTTTGCTGGGTAAGGTGATTCTTGGTTGTAATTCTAGCTCCTTTGCCCTCCAGAATATCATGTTACAAGTCCTCCAATCCTTTAATGTGGAAGCTGCTAAAATCTTGTGTTATCCTGACTGTAGCTGAATGATACTTGAATTGTTTCTTTCTGGCTGATTGTAATATCTCCTTGACCTGGGAACTCTGGAATTTGGCTATAATATTCTTGGGAGTTTTCATTTTGGGATCTCTTTCAGGAGGTGATTGGTAGATTGTTTCCATTCCTACTTTACCCTCTGGTTCTAGAATATCAGGACAGTTTTCCTTGATAATTTCTTAAAAGATGATATCTTGGCTCTTTTTTGGTCATGGCTTTCAGATAGTCAAATAATTCTTAAATTATCTCTCCTCAAACTATTTTCCGGGTCAGTTGGTTTTCCAAAGAGATATTTCATATTTTCTTCTATTTTTTTCATTCTTTTGATTTTGTTTTATTGTTTCTTGATGTCTCATGGGGTCATTAGTTTCCACTTAGCCAATTCTAATTTTTAAGGAATTATTTTCTTCAGTGAACTTTTATACCTCTTTTTTCCATTTAGCCCATTTTACTTTTTACAAAGTTCTTTTCTTCAGTGAATTTTTGTATATCTTTTTTCCATTTGGCCAATTCTGCTTTTTAAGGTATGCTCTTCATTGGATGTTTATGCCTCTTTTACTACTTGGCCTATTCTGTTTTTTAAAATATTATTTTCTTCAGTGTTCTGTTTGTTTGTTTGTTTTGTTTATCAAGATCTTGGCTCTTTTTTTTCATGATTTTCTTGCATCACTCTCATTTTTTTTCCCCCAAGAGTGGGGGTGGAGTGAAATGACTTAGCCAGATATGTCTTTCACTGAGAAAGAATTAGAGAAGGGAAGACTTGGAATTAGAGGTATCAAGAAATTTGTTATAGAAAGTGCCCAAGATAAAGGTAATAAGGGCCTGAACTAGAGTGGTAATTGTGTGAAAAAAGAGAATAGCCATCTTCACCATGACCTAGATCTTCCTATTCCTTAGTACTTTCCCAAGCTATCTGCCCTGAGTAGGATTTCAGTTTCCACAATCCCTCCTTTCTCCCCTTTAATAGACTAATTTGCTATCCTGTGACTTCAGTCCCTTGCTCTCTTGTTCTATTGTCCTTTGTGCTTTGCCAAATCCTAGCCCTGGATTCTTCTTACCATCTGCCTCCTCTACTCCTATTCAGAGTGTCACAGGAAGTAACACATCTGTGCTGACTGGATCCACAAGAAATTAATGTAATCTAGTGCAAACTAGGCTCTCACTACATCAAATAAATCATTTTACTCTTCCTTTATTGCTTTTCTTTCCCATTCCCCACAGTGTCTCATAAAAAGATGACCTTTCTCCTTGCCAAAGCAAACCCTTCTACATACACAAGTGATCCCATTCCATCCTGTCTTCTCCTAATTGATTGCTTCCATTTCCATCTCCATTCTCTCACTTATCTGCTTCTCCATTAACTACAAACATGCCCATATCTCCCCCATCCTCAAAGAATCCTCAATTAATCCATCTATCCATGATAGCTATCTCATATCTCTCCCATTTGTTGTTGGTAATCTCCTTGAGAAGGCTATCTACGATGAATGTCTCTATTTCTTTTCCTCTAATTCTTTTTTAAAAAAATTCTCTACAATCTTTCTGCTTCATCATTCATCTGAAACACCTCTTTCCAAGGTTATCAATGATCTCTTATTTGCCAAATCTAAAGGCCTTTATCCATTCTCTTTTTCACTTCTCCATAGCCTTTGACACTGTTGATCGCCCTCCTCTTTCATATTCTCTTCTCTCTAGATTTTCAAAACACTTCTCTCTTCTACTTTTCTTCCTACCTATCTTACTTATCCTTTTCAATCCCCTTTGCTGAATCTTCATCCATGTCAGTCCACAAAACCTTGTCCTGGGCTCTCTTCTCTTCTCTACACTATTTCATTTGATAATCTCATTAACTCGAATGGAGTCAGTACCCATCTCTATGCTAATGATTTTCAAATCTACTTTTCCAGCCGAAATTTCTCTGCCAACCTCCAGTCTTACAACTCCAATTTGCCTATTGGATAGCTCAAACTGGATTCCAAATGCATCAATATACATCTTAAACTCACCATGTTCAAAAGTGAACTCATTATCCTTACCTCCAAACCCTTCTCTCTTCCTAACTTTACCTATCCATGAACAATAAACATTACTTCAGTTATTTGGATCTGAGTTTATTTGTATAAAAAGTGTTTTATGTTTATATTCATATAGTTCCTGTGCCTGTTTGAACAGGTATATGCTCAGATATTTTATACTGTCTAGGTATTTTAAATGGTCTAAAACAATATTGAATAATATTGCTGACAGTATAGTTTCTCTTTTTCACTTTTGATTAAATCTACTTTAACTAACTCTGTCTGAGAGCATGATTAGTATCCCTGCTTTTTTACATACTATATTCTACTCCTACTCTTTATTTTATCTTTCTGTGTATCTCTCATTTTTAAAATGTTTCCTGAAAGCAACACATTGTTGAAGTCAAATTTTTAACCTGCTGTTTCCATTTTATGAGTAAAATTTATCCCATTCACATTCTAAGCTACAATTATTTGTGATTTATTTTCCCCCCTCTTTTTCCTCATTACGCTCCTCACCCTATTTACCTTATCCCTCCTCACTCCTCTGCTTTACTTCTACCCACTACCTTGCCCTCCCATTCCTTAACCTACTCACTGTTCTAAGAGTCCCTCCTTTGTCCTCTCCCCACACCCTATCCCTTTGCCCTAATTTCTTTCTGAATTTAGAACACGTTTATACCCATTTAGATATCTGTATATCTATCTATATCGATATAGATATCGATATAGATATCGATATAGATATAGATATAGATATAGATATAGATATAGATATAGATATAGATATAGATATAGATATAGATATAGATATAGATATAGATATAGATATAGATATAGATATAGATATAGATATAGATATAGATATAGATAGATATAGATATAGATATAGATAGTTCCTTCTTTAACCCATTCCCGATGAGAGTAAGGTTCTGGCACCATTCATCCTTCCTTCCTACTCCAGCTTCTTCTGTTTTAGTTTTTTCTTTTATGCCTCATTAAAAGATAATTACTCCTTTTTATCTCTTCCTAAACAGTTTTATTTTTTTTAGAATCACCTCCATATACTCAGCTCAGCCCACACCTTTCTTTCAAACTACACAAATAATGATGGCAATCATAAGAGTACGGATAGTATTTTCTCATATAGAAGTAAACAATTTGACCTTACTGGGTACCTCATAATTGGTCTTAAATGTTTACCTCATATTTCTCCTGGATGTTATGTGTCAAATTTTCTTTTTAAGTTTTGGGTTTTTTGTCACAAAAACCTGAAAGTCTTTGAGTTCATTAAATGTCTTTTTAGAATTATACTTAACTTTGCTTAGTAAGTTACCCTTGTCATAATCCCAGCTCTTTTGCTCTATGAAATACAGAATTCCAAGACCTATAGTCCTTCATCATAGTATCTACTAGGTCTTCCTTATTGTAGCTCCATGATGTTTAAATTGCTTTTTTCTTGTTGCTTTCAATACTTTCTCCTTAACCTGGGAGCTTTGAAACATGGCTATTAAATTTCTTAAGTTCTTCTCCTGGGATCTCTTTCAGGTGGTGATCTGGGTTGGGTTTTTTTTTCTATTTCTATTTTGCCTTCTTATTCTAGAATTTCAGGGCAGTTTTCCTTCATAATTTCTTGTAATATTGTATCAATTTTTTATCATAATTTTCAGGTAGTCTGACTATTCTTAAATTATTTCTCCTTGATCTGTTCTCCAAATCAGTTGTTTTTCTGATGAGATGCTTCACTTTCTCTTCTTTTTTTAATGTTTTGGTTTTGTTTTATGATTTATTGGTGTCTTAGAACATTGTTAGCTTCCCCTTGCCCAATTCTAGCTTTCAAGGAATTATTTTCTTTCTTAAGTTTTTGATTATCTATTTCCAGTTTTGACTTTTTTTACATAATTTTCTTGATCTTCTTGGATTACTCTTTTTTTCCAATTTTCCCTTGATCTCTCTTACTTGATTTTTTTTAGATAGAATTGTCATTTTTATTATGTTAGCTTGACCTACTCATAAACAATATTTCTCCAATTTTTTAGATCTGTCTTTATTTGTTGAAAAGTGTTCTGTAATTGTGTTCATATAGTCCCTGAGTTTGGTAGGACTCCTTCCTTACCTATTTTTTAAAAATCAGTTTATATAGTATATAGGGATTAAGTGTTCTTTAAATGTGTGGTAGAATTTACATATATCCATCTTAGGGATTTTTTCTTTTTTCTTTTTCTCCCCCTCCTCCCATTTATTAATTTATTTATTTTAATTTTCAACATTCACTTCCACAAGATTTTGAGTTCCAAATTTTCTCCCCATCTCATCCCTTCCCCCACCCCAAGATGGCATGCATTCTGAATACCCCTTCCCCTAATCTGCCCTCCCTTCTATCTCTCCCCACCTTCTCTTATCCCTTTCCCCTTCAATTTTCCTGTAGGGCAGGATAGATTTCTATACCCCATTTCCTGTATATCTTATTTCCCAGTTGCATTGAAAACAGTTTTTTAAAATCTTTGTTTTTAAAACTTTGGGTTCCAAATTTTGTCCCTTCCTCCCCCCCCCATTGAGAAGGCAAGCAACTTGATACAGGTTATACATGTGTAGTCACGCAAAACACTTCCATAGTAGTCATGTTGTGAAAAACTAAGTATATTTCCCTTAATCCTATCCCACCCCCCATTTATTCTATTCCCTCTTTTGGCCCTGTCCCTCCTTAGAAGTGTTTGCTCCTGATTACCCCTCCCTCCCCTAATCTGCCCTCCCTTCTATCATCTCCCTGATCTCTTGTCCACTTCCTCCCCTATTTTACTGTAGGGTAAGATAGATTTCCATACCCAATTGAGCGTATATGTTATTCCCTCGTTAGGCCAAATACAATGAGAATAAGATTCATTCATTCCCCGTCACCTTCCCCTGTGTCCCTCCACTGTAAAAGCCTTTTCTTATCTGGTTTATGTGAGATAATTTACCCCATTCTGCCTCTCTCTCTCTCTCAATATATATATATATATATATATGTATGTATGTATGTATACACACACACACACACACACACACACACACACACAAACATACATATAATTTTTCCTTCCAACTATCCTAATACTGGGAAGATTGCCCAAGAGGTCAGAAAACTTTTGGCTCTCCAAATTTCCTCCACAAAACACCTACTATTTGTAAAGCACCTTTATCCATCCAACAAATACAACTTTCACCTATCATTTGCAATTTATTGCACCACATCTGTAGTTTTGTGGATTTGGGGAACTCCTGACAAGGAAATCTCTAGCAATACCAACTGGTAATTTATAGTCTTAAGGAGTTGCTAGGGACTCTGAGCATTTCAGAATCTTGTCTAAGGTTACACTGACAATATGGGTCAAAGGCAAGACTTAAAGGCCAGTTCTTGATGCACCATGATAAGATGCCTTCTATTGTTTACAATACCCTTTACCAAAGTCTTACCATGGTGCTTCATTGTAACTTGAAGGATTCTTTTAAGACACTGTCAGAGGAGGGCAAGTTCTGGCAGGACCTACTCAAATGGGCCCAGTAGATCATATGTCCAAGGATTTTCTTAAGAGAGGCTGTCACCAGAAATTTGGGCCAAGAGGTGATGAGGGGTTTTTCAGCCACAGAAACTTACAAAGACTGTGCACTAAGGCAAAGAAGGATAAAAAGTTCTGCATTGCTGGCATGAATTCCTCACAGCAAAAAGATCCTATTGTGTGTCAGAGCTACTGTGGGCCTGAAGTAATAAATATTTCATTGCAAATCATCAGCAGATTTTTCCTCAAATTACCTTTTCCCTTTCATAGGACAACTCAAAATGGGGTTCTCTTTTGGATAAACATCCAATGCAAATTAGCAGAAATGTGAAACAAAAATTTGAAAGTCAGAGTATTTGATTAATTTTAACTTTATTTTTTTCCCCAGCAACAGGCTTAAAGAAGCTATATACTTTGTTGTGATGTCCATCACTTTCAGGTATGAAAGACTGCAAACAAAGAATGCAAGAAGGTTTGACTTCAGTTTTAAACTCACATCCACTGACTTCTCAATTGCTCTGACTCAAGAATAGGATGGGGGTGGGGTGGGGCGTGATCCAGATCTAAAAGATTATTTCAGACAGGCTAAGCAAACTCATAAAAGACTAATTGATAAACCAGAACTTTAATTCATTTATTTATAATAGAAGATGTAGTTGGCAAGATAATAGGTTTAGACCATTTGCAGAGGAAATTGCTGGAGGTTAGTGTGATGAGTAAAATCTCAAATAACTCTTCAGTTTTCTCAGGACTAGGCCTCCTCAGCTTGGCACTGGACCCTCAATACATGAATTAAAAGAAAACAATTTTAACGGGATATCAACCAGGATACAAGATTAGGTTATCTGATTTCTAATAGAAGGAAATGGAAGGATTTTCCAAATTGGGAGAAGTAAAAAGTGAGTTTCGGTCGAGTTGGGAGGTGGCAAGTTGGCTTCAAAGTCTTTCCTTTCCCAGAATTGGGAGATGTTGATTAACTGAATCCATCTGCATTTTACAAAACAGTAAATGGCATATACCATTTATTTTCCCATGAAAGATTTGCAGAAATACAAAAGTGTGTGGTAGCACAGGATGGAGTCAGTGTTCATGAGATGGGATCCAATTGGTTCTCTCAATTCTCACACCAAATCAACCCCTGCTTTCACTCTATTTCTTTACCTCTCCCCCTCCCCACCCCATCCCCTGCCCTATCCCAGAAGACTCATTTAAGGTCACAAGGTTGTTTAGTGAACAAGGAATTAGAATTATTAGAATAAAGGGAATTGTGTTGTCATAAAAGACATTTCCAATAATTTATCATCTATTAACAAATTCCCCTTCTAAACTCTAGAGATATTTCTTTCTAGCACCCTTCAAAACACCTTTCCCCCTAGATATTACCACCACCACCTCAGGTAGTTTGATAAAGTCTTAATCTTCATTTGGAACCAGACAGACCATCACCTTTCTGCTATAATAACGACATGGGCATGTAAAAATTAACTAGAGAACTCATATTAATGCCATTTGAGTGATGAAATTTGATCTCATTTAAGGTGATTAGCACACATTTGTAAACCTTCTTTTGGGGGATGTCATTCTTATGCAAATGGATAATCTTATCATTTTTATGTTGATTTGCCTAAATTTAAGAGTGGCATTTTCTGAACTTGTTCCCAAATTCTGGCTTGCCCTCTTAGGAATTTGTAGCCCTCTATGCACTGACTCCACAGCACTAAAAAGATTATTGTTCTCCTCTCTTGACACATTGTTCCCTCTTTTTTTAAAAAAATGTGTTTTTCAATAAATAATACTGATCTGAAATAATAAGATCATTCACTTTGAAATCTATCACATCTCTGATACCAACACAACTGTACATGACAGATCATGGTCAGCATGTTAATGAGTTATATAGGGTCAAAGGAGGAAGGTCATAGAAAGCCAAATAAGATAATATATGCAAATACTTTGATTGTACTATGTAAATACCTGCTGTTATTATTTTCACAGTAGTAGCATAAGTCTAGATTGAAATGGGAAGAGAGTGAAGGCAGGAAGACCTGTTAGAAAGTTATGCAATATTCTGGGCCAAAAATAATGATGGCGTTTATGGAGGGGTGTGTGTGTGTGTATGATGGCAATGGGAATTAAAGAGGAGAGAATGATTTGGGAGATGGGATGGATGAGGAATGAACAGAATCTAGTAACGAAAGGGGGAGTGTCAGAAATAACACTAAGCTTTCAAATGCAGATCAGGTGAATGGGAGGGTTACACATGGGAAGAGTAAGTTTTGGGGAAATATAATAATGAGCTTGATTTTAGATATGATGAATTTTGGTTAACAGTGAAACATCTAGGTAGAGATGTCCTGAGAATCTTTGAAAATGCATATCTATTGCTCAAAAGGGAGACTAGACTCTACGTTCTCTACCTTGGAAATCTCATTTGTATATCTGGTTTCAATAACTATCCCCATATAGATAGTTCCCAATTTTGAATCTTTAGTACTCAGGGAATCTGAAAAAGTTAATATTGAGTGGCCTCAATCTTCTCAACAAAGTATAAGGCTTAAAATATGTAAGAATGTCTCCAAGAATTAAATTTCTCACTTAGTGAATACCTACTTTATATTTAACACTGTTCTAGAAGCATACTTTGATATAAAATGTATATGCTAATTATAAATTACATTAATTAAAGAAGGTCTGTTAAGGACCTCTACTGGGTAACACTTTTATTACTATCAGTAGTAGAAAATAAACCAAGTTTCTTTTAAAGTATAATTCAGAATTTTTACTAATTCACAGTAGTTTTTTTTCTATTCCATCCCAACGAGTTCTAACTAGTAAAGATTTATTGTATTATCAAGAACATTAATTGCGCCCACAAAGTAGTTTTTTTTATTTTGTTATATGAGCTATTTCTAAATTTTCTTAAGTGTTTGTAAATGGAAATATTAACATGCTTAATTTACTCATTGTCTTAGCAGGTTATTAGCGCAGTAACATTATAGTGTGTTCATAATGCATACTTTCATTTGTTCAAGAAATATTAAGGATTTCATATGTTCAATGTAAAGAGAAAATGAGGCATATTAGATAGAAGAAAAAACATTGAGCACAAATCCTGCCTCTAACATACACCAGTTGTGTGACTGGGCAAGTTATTTTGTCTCTTAAGAGCCCCACAAATATTTCTAAGGCTATAAATTGAAGAAGGGTCTGCTTTAGTAAAGGGAATTGTCACTCCAGGGGTTTCCAGGTGCACACACACACACACACACACACATTCATTCAATGAGAAGCAGAGTGGTATAGTATATGGAGGGCAAGCTTTGTAGTTAGGAAGACCTAACTAGCTAGGTTCAAGTCCTTCTTCTGACACATACTAATTGTATGACTGTGAGCACATTATTTAACCTCTTGTTGCTCTCTATCGACTCTCCACAAATTGCAGACAAGTTATGGATATGCATCAGTTAAAAGAATTCCCTACAGGAGTTTCCCACTTGGATGAAGTCATAGATTCAAGCCAACAAAAACAACTATAGCTAACAATACAGAACTAGAGCTCAGGATTATAGTTCTACATTTAGTTTTCATTGTCAGGTGGTATAAAATTTGATAGGACTTGGTCACTGGATGTACATGAGGAGGGAGAGTGAGGAGTCTAAAAATGATTCCCAAGTTAAGAGATGAGGAGAATGACAGTATCACTGGAACAGTTGGGGAAATCAGGAAGAGCATGTGTAAAGAGAGATGGTAAGATCTGACTTAGGCCAGCTTAAGGTGAGTTTGAGGGGCTGATAGATATTAGGTGGAGATGCCCAACCAAGGGACTGTTTAATTTTTGTGTCTGTATCACTAGCACCTAGCTCCCTTGCAAATAGTAAGCACTTAAAATAGTGACTTAATTGAATTAAGCCTGGAGCTCTGGAGAGCTTTTAGGGTGAATTGTATAGATTTGGGAGTCTCTAGAAATTAACTGTTGAAACTTTGGGAGTGGATGAGATCACTGAGAAAGAGAGTTTTCAGGGGGGGAAATGTTGATGAGGATTGAGGATAGACCTAATTGAGGGTAAAGGAGCCAGTAAAAAACAAACCAAAAAATTAGGGAAATCAGAGAAACAGGATAGTATGGTGTCACAGAAGTCAAAGGAAGAAAGAATATCATGGAGCAGGTAATGAGAACAATGCAATATGTTGCAAGGAGGTCAAGGAGTTTGAAGACAGAAAAGGCTATTAGATTTAGTCATTAAGAGGCCACTAGTGACCTTTTAATAGCAAGGCAATCACTAGTATGGTTCAAAGAGTATCAGATTTGGAGTCAAAAGGAGGTTCAAATATTATCTCTTTCCTTAACTTGTGGGGTGGTCAGTTAACTCCTCTGAGCCTCAGTTTCCTCCTCTGTCAAATATGGATGATGCTATCTTTCATACTTACTTGACAGAGTTGTTTTGAGGATTACAGGATTATAGCTGTAAAGCTAAAAGGGAGCTCTATGGCTAACCCCTTCATGTTACAAATGAGGAAACTGAGGCCCAGGGAAATGAGGTGACTTGTCTGAGACCACACAGGTAGTAAATGTAAGAAGCAGAGTATGAGATAAGATATGTATACCATCTGTTTTGCAAACCTTAAAGTCTTATGTATATGTCAAGTACTTTTTATTAGAATGCTAAAGATAGAAACCATACTGCAAGTGTTGAGGAGTGAGTGAGTAGTCAAGAAGTGGAGACAGCCATTATAAACTATTCATTAAAGAAACTTGGAAGAAATGAAGAGTAGAGATGATACAGTACCTCCAAGGGGTGGTAGAATTGAGAGAGGGTCTTTTAGGGTAGGGAAGGCCTGAACATGTCTATGGGCAAAAGGAAAGGAGTCAATGGACATGGATAGATAGAGGATTCAAGAGAGACTGTGATTGATGAAGCAAGGTCCCAAACTATAAAGGTCAAATGTTAGATTAAAAACACAGGTTGTTTTTTTTTCAGGGGGGAAGAAGTGATCAATTAGCTTTAGCCAGAAGGAGAACTACTCTTCCTAAAGACCAGAGGGAAAGAGGAGAGAATGGGAGCTTCTGTAGGATAACCTTGATTACCTTAGCAACATAGGAGGAAAGGTCATCTAGTGAAAGTGTGTAGGAGGAAGGGTTAGGAATGGGTACTTAAAGGGGCAGGTTTGGAACAAGCACTATAGGGAATGTGATAGGGAAAGGTCAACAATTGATATAGAAAAGGATTGCCTAGCAGTCTTGAGTACCTAGTTAAAGCTGTAGCATGTAGTTATAGAATACGGTTTGAGAATTCTCATGGAAAACCTAGACTTGTAAAAGCCAAAGGAAGAAGAAAATTCATCCATCAAACTAATAAGAATGTCTATGACCATTTGCTTAAAACTGAATAGAAAACATATTAATGTCTTCCACTAATATCCAAACCACCTCCCCTCTCCCCCACCCCCATATACACACCTTGCCCCACTCTTCAGGCATAAAAGGGTAGAAGTTAGGGGTTTTTTCTTTTCTTTTTTTTTCTGAATGAATTTCATCTTAAATGATGAGGATGCAATGTTCTATTCTTTTGGCTTAAAAATATGAATTAGTAGTAGGTTCAAGGTCAGATGGGAAGTGGGAGACTCACTTTTCCTTCTCGATGTGTTTTTTTTTATCTTTATAGGTTATTTAATGTCATATTGATCTTCATTCATATTGCATTACTGATTACAGCTTTAACGCTGACTCCTAAGGGTACGAGGTTGCCTTTCACCTATCATATATTGTTTTTACTTTTTGGTCTCTTCTTCCTCATTGACGTGCTATTTCAAGTCTTTTTAGAAGGGTAAGTTGGATTTTTAAAAATATATAAAGCCGTTCTGTGCTGATGTGGCAAGTGTGACTTGATGCCAAATTAGCTCTCAGTAATTGCATTCTTATGGGTAACTGCCATTTAAGCTGACATTGACATTTTTGTTAAAGGGAATGTGAAAATTTAGGATGAAAAGTTACCTTTTGAAATAATATTTTCCCCTTGGTCTTTAGAGTGCTATCATATTAATCTCTTCAAGTAGATTAACTAATTACTTGGGATTAGAGGTGGAGGTGAAAAGGATTGGGGCTTTTAAAAAAAAACCTTCCTTGTGTTTCTTTTAAGAAGTAAATTTCATGGCTTTGCTTTTATTACAGATTGACATTGTATTTTTCTTCAGTAATCAATGTGCTGGATTTCTTTGCTAGTATATTTTTCGTGGTGTTGGATGTGACTTACATTTTTTTTGATATTCAAGTAATTCGGCAAATCCCCAAGTAAGAAATGTATGATTGATATGTCTTGAAATGTTGTCTGCTTTTCTTGGGGTTTTTTTTGTAGTTTTCTTCTAACACAAATATTACTACTCTCATTGTTACAATTGTATACCATATATGTTGCTTGAAAAAGTTCTATTTAAATTTCTGCTTGATTTTACTTTCAAATTACATTATTACAAGACTATTAATACTAGCTAGCTAGCATTTATACAGTGCTTTCAGGTTTGCAAAATGCTTTGGAAATATCAACTCATTTTATCTAGACGGACCTGTGAGCCCAGGAGCTTGATCAGTACTTTTTGAATGAACTAAGAGGTCCAAGGAAGAATCCAAAACCTATGACTCTGCTATTAAAGTTTGAACATGTTAATCAATAGTTATCAAGTACCAACCATGGATGGTAGTGATAAATTTAGCTTTTGAGATCGCAAGGGGGTTTCCACCGTCTTTCACATCTGAGATGAGGTCCACAAGGCAAGAGGATAGATTCTGCTGGATTATAATCAATCAGTCAACATTTATTAAGCACCTACTCTGTGCCAGGCACTGTGCTAAGTGCTGGGGATACAAAAGGAAGCAAAAGACAGTCCCTGCCCTCAAGGAGCTTACAATCTAAAGCCAGAAAGGCATAGATCTTTCAGTATTGTGACAATTGTGACAAGTAATTGATAGGGGAAAACATGATGCAGAGGATTAAACAGTTTAAAGATGATGCACCAGAGGGGTAACTTTGGGGCTTTGTTCTCTTTACTGGGTGTCTGGTTTAGCTTGACATCCTTGGGGCCTCACCCCAAATAAGGTCAAAATGGACCAGGATGACTATGATAATTGTAGAATCAGTGAGGGGAGATAATCTCCCATATACTCTCTCTTTTCTGGGTATTCATGACCCTACTTTTTGTTTATTCTTTTCCCCTACTTGTCTTGCCACTCCTCAGTCTCCTTTGCTAGGTCGTTAACCATAACACATGCCCTAACTGTGGGCGCACTCAAAGATTCTGTTTTAACATCTCATCTCTTCCTTCTCTCTACTCTTTTCATTGGTGACTTCATCGGCTCCTGTGGTTTTAAATATCACCTCCTTATCTATAGAAGTGATACTCTGATCTATGTATCTAGCCCTGGGCTCTCTCCTGAGTTCCAGTCCTATACTACCAACTGCCATTTGGCATTTTGAACTGGATATATAGTCATCTTAAATTCAATATCTAGAACAGAACTCATTATTTCCCTCTACTTCACCCCTTCCTTTTACAAACTTTGCTATGTCTGTTGAAGTTACCTATATTCTTCAAATCTCTCCCATTTATAACCTTAGCATTATCCTTGACTCCTCACCCTCCCTCACCCCACATATCCGATTGGCTGCCAAATTTGTTATTTCTAGCTTCACAATCTCTCTCACAACCCTAATTCAGGCCTTAATCACTTCTTACCTAGATTCCTAATTGGTCTTCCTGACTGAAATCTCTCTTCTTTTTAAAATAGATTCTTATTCATATCTTTAGTTTTAAAAAATGCCTTAAATCTCTCCCTCTCTTTTCCCCAAAGAATCATATAACAATGATTTTTTTTAAAGAGGAGGGAAAAAAAACCATTATGATGGGGGAAAAAACTGACATTATGCAATGTTCCATACCTTGAATCTTCATCTCTGCCCAACTTTGTTCTCTGTAATTTCAAAACTTTTTAAAAACTACTTTATGCTTGTTGTTATTTCCATTTCCATTTTTGTAGTCATTGCGTATATTGTTTTCCTGACTCTGTTGCTTCACTCTGCATCAGTTGATGAAAGTCTTTTCATACTTCTCTGTATTCATCACATTCATCATTTCTTACAGTATAGTAAGTGTTCATGGCATTTATAGCCCATAATTTGTTTAGCCATTCCCATTTTGACATCAACTTTGTTACCAGTTCTTCACCACCACAAAAAAGATATAATAAAAGGGTATAAATATAAATATTCTGGTGTCTATGAAGCTTCTTTTTTTGTTAATGACCTCTTTATACTATGTGCCTAGCAGTAGAATCTCTGGATCAAAATATGAACGGTTTGAATACTTTATTTGCACAATTCCCAATTGCTTTCCAGAATGATTTATACTAACTTACAACTCCACCAACAATGCATTATTGTGCCTGTGTCTACAACATTGATTATTCCTATATTTGGCAATGTGCTGGATATGTGATGAAATATCAGGGTTGCTTTGACTTACATTTCTCTTCTTTTTGGTAATTTAGAAAATTCATTCTTACGGTCATTAGTTATTTGCAATTATTCTTTAAGAACTGTTCTCAAATTGTTTGACTACCTAAATATTAGGAAATAGCTTTTGTTCATATATATTTCATGGATACCCTTATGAGTGACACTTGGTAGAACAATGGTTTTTTCTCCTTTCTTATGTGCAACTTCTCTTCTTATCCTAAAGACAATAATTTTGCTTTTGCAAAAACATTTCAATTCCATGCATCAAAATCCTATATTTCTTGAAATTGTCCCTATCCCTTGTTTAAGAATTCATCTTCTACACATAGCTGTGAAATATATACAACATGTTTCTCTTCTGAGTGTTTTATGGTGTGATCTTTAAGATTCAGGTTGCATATCTATTTTGAATTTATGATATGGTGATAATCTAAGCCTAATTTCTGCTAAACTGCCTTCTGTCTCCCCTCGCATCTTCCACCCAAGCTGCCATCATGATTTTCCTAAAGTAAAAATCTGACCATGTCACTCCTCTATAAAGTCTGCTGTTTCTTTATTAACTATCAGATCAAATATAAACTGTTTGACATTTAAGTCCCTTCACAACATACCCCTAACCTGCCTTTCCAGCCTTAGTTTAACATTACCACCCTTCATTCAGTCAACAGTCTGACCTAATTGGTCTTCTTATTCCTCATACATGACACTCCCTTTTTCATCTTATTGTCTTTGTTCTGATTATAACCCCTTATAGAATTCCCAATTTCCTTAAAAACTCAGCTTATACCACCTTCTATACAAATTCTTTCCTGATCCTCCATCTTCTAGGGCCTTCCTTCAAAAAAGTTACCTTGATTTTTTTTATATATACATACATACATACATATATATATATATATATATATAATACATATATACACATCCACATATATGTGTATTTATATATATATGCATATATATATGTGTACATAGATGTATATGAGGGAAGTTGTTAATATGCTCCCCTAATGCCTCAGCACAGGCAGGGGAACCTGTAGACACCAGCTCAGAAAACCACTATGTGCGATGCTGTTTTCCAACAGCCAAATCTCCTGGTGCCTCAGCACAACTCTGGGAAGCACAACTCCAGGAGGCAAAGCTCCAGGCTGACAGACATCCTTCAGGAGGCAAACATTCAAGTGCTTTAAAAAAAGCTGAGGTGATCAGGTGTCCTCCAGGGGCCAGACTCCCCACCCCCACCCTGAGAGTTCCAGTATCATTGACCCCAGCTGAGCATCAGGTAAATTGCCACCCCTATAGCCACCAGCTGCCAGCAATTGAGGTCCCAGCACACAAAGCCAGTGACCAAGTTTGGGGCTCTCAGCACAAGGAAGGTTGGATCAGTGTCCCTTGCACTCCAGCAGGGGAGCTCAATTTCAAAAGCCAGCAAATAGGCAAAACCATGAACAAAAAGCAGAAATGGACAAAGACCATAGACTCTTATTCTGGGGACAGGGAAGATCAAGGCACAAATTCAGAAGAGGACAACATTGTCAATATACATCTGAAATCTCAAAGGGGAATATGAACTGGTCTCAAGCCGGAAAGGCCTTCATAGAAGAGTTCAAGAAGGATTTTAACAGTCAAATAAGAGAAGTAGAAGAAAAAAAGGGGGAAAGAAATGAGAGGTATGCAAGAGAGAGTTAATAGCTTGGGGAAAGGACAAAAATTGACTGTAGAAAACAAGTCCTCAAAAAGTAAAATTGGCCAAATGGAAAAGGAGGCACAAAAACTCACTGAAGAGAAGAACTCCTTAAAAAGTAAAATGTGCCAAATGGAAAAGGAGGTATAAAATATGATAGAAGAAAATAATTTGCTAAAAATTGGAATTGGGCAAGTGGAAGCTAATGACTATGAAATATCAAGAGTCAAGCAAACAGAAACAAAAGAATGAAAAAAATAGAAGAAAACATAAAATACCTCATTGGTAAAGTAACTGACCTAGAAAATATGTCCAGGAGAGACAATTTAAAAATTATTGGTCTACCTGAAAACCATGATGAAAAAAAAAGAGCCTGGACAATATCCTTTCAGGGAATCATAAAGGAAAACTGCCCTGAGGTCCTAGAACCAGAGGGTAAATTAGTCATTGAAAGAATCTACTGATTGCCTCCTGAAAGAGATCCCAAATTGAAAACGCCAAAGAATATTGTAGCCAAACTCCAAAATTACCATGTCAAAGAGAAAATAGTACAAGCAGCCAGAAAGAAAATTAGTCAAGATTATATAGGACCTTGCAGATGTTACATTAAAAGATTGGAGGGCATGGAATACAATACTCCATAAGGCAAAGGAGCTTGGATTACACCAAGGATCAACTACCCAGCAAAACTGAGCATAATCTTTCAAGGGAAGGAGATAGACATTCAATGCAATAGGAGATTTTCAAACCTTTATGATGAAAAGACCAGAGCTCAACAGAAAATTTGATCTTCAAATATAAGACTCAAGAGAGGCTTAAAAAGGTAAATAGGAAAGAAAAAAAATCATGTTATTGATAAGGGCAAACTGTTTACATCCCTGCAAGGGAAGATGACACTTGTAACTCTTGAGAACTGTATCATTATTACAACATTTAAAAGGGGTATACCTAGACAGAGAGAATAGGTATACAATTGACTTTGATGTGATGATAAGAAATCTAAGTGGTGAAAGGGGATTGTTCTGGCAGAAGAGGAAAGGAAGAGGCAGACAAGGGTAAATTGTATCTATCACATGAAGAGGCTCTTAGACATATTACAGT